GACAAACAATATAATTCTTTGTTTTCTGAGCCAAGGAAGAACTTAACTCTACTGTTTGATCTTATTCAGGTACGAGAACTAGAAGGTGAGTTGGATATAGAACAGAAGAAGAATGCAGAGTCTCAGAAGGGCATTCGCAAGTATGAGCGAAGAGTCAAAGAATTGACTTATCAGGTACAAATTTCATCATCTTCACATCGAATCCTCAGATCCATTTTCATTAACACATAGGGTGAAATCAACAAAAAACATAGGGGGAGCATTATACAAAAATGAAACTTCTCCTTTTGCCTGCAGATATCCCATCATTTTAGCATAATTCAAAGTCCTTCAGGAGATAGCAAACTCCAAGATTGTTTCATTTGGAATGAAGTATTGTCCTCAGTCTAATTTGGATTTGTAATTTTATTTCACAGACAAAACTGATCACTTTGGCTACATGATTATCAATTGGTTTGCACAGCTAACAAGATCAATTCTCCTTTAAAGCTATTGACCAAAACATCTAGGTTTGAGTAAATAGTACAAAAAACCAAGACTTAGGCTAGAGATCTTTCACAAAATTATCTTATTGTGTTTCCAAATCAAACTATATTTTTCCCATGTCATCTTCTCTAGTATATTTCTATCAATTAAAGGAAAGCTCAGTAATAGGAACCAAATTTGAATACTTTGCTCAAAATAGCAATAGCACTTAGACTTATATACTGCTTCACAGTGCTTTACAGCCCTCTCTAAGCAGTTTACAGAGTCAGCATATTGCCTCCAACAATCTGGGTCATAAATGGGCACCTACGTATCTATAGATAAATCAGGAAGGGGGAGGACATATTTCCAGCAAGTGAAAGAGTGCTTCAGAAATTTCTTCTATGGAATATAAGTAGAATCTCAGTTTAGCTACCCCATTAGAGGGAAGGTATGTCTATTAAATCCAACTATCTGTTAAATTTGTTATGTTAAACCCAAATGTACATCCTTTGAATCAATTTACTTGTGTAATTACATAGCTCATGTAAAATGGCATCACTTGCAATAAAACAAAACTTCAATTTGATGGATGAGAGGGGATGGAGTTAAAATGGAAAAAAAAGCTCATTATTTTGGAAATCCACTAAACCAAGGTCCACTATATCAAGTTTTATCAGAAAGATTACACTTTTATAGTCATATGGTAACATATATGGGGTGAACCAGATATCTGATTATTACATTTCAGACTGAAGAAGACCGGAAGAACCTGGCACGAATGCAGGAACTGATTGACAAGTTGCAGAGCAAAGTCAAGAGCTACAAGCGTCAGTTTGAGGAGGCAGTAAGTAGGGATTCCAGCAATTTAAAAGGCAACAAAATGCTAGTCCTAGTCAATTAGTTTCCTTTGGCTCTGTAAAAACCCTTAATCATCTATTTGTCTGTATTACTGTGCAGAAATCTAATTTAAAAATACAATTCTAAAATGACACTTTAGAAATTCAGACTCCTCCAAAGTACTTAGGAAAACCAACTCCCTTGGCTCTACACCTTATCTTTCTGGATTAAAGAGGCATTAGTGTTCCTACTACTATCGAAAATGTGCCAAACCTTTTGTATGCCTAGAACATTGTTTGCCATAATTCCTCAGTCATTTAGTGCAGCCAAGAATTTTTCCAATACCTGGTTCCACTACATCAAATTCCATCTTCTATTTATAGGAGCAACAAGCCAACTCCAACCTGGTCAAATACCGCAAAGTGCAACATGAGCTTGATGACGCTGAGGAACGAGCAGATATTGCAGAGACGCAAGTGAACAAGCTGCGTTCTCGCACTAGGGAAGTTCCTCTGAAGGTGAGAAAAATGTTGCCTGAGGTAAAGCATGATAATTATCTCCCCGTCAGTCTCATTCCTTAATGGATAAACTGTTGGGGAACACACATTAGCTCTTTATGTGATGTGATTTCATTGGCTTCACTAAACACTATTCAGCCGTAACCAATGTATAAATCAGGGAATAGATAGCAGGAAGGATGGCTGGGACACAGGGCATGAGAAAGATGAATGTGTTCTCTGTTTTTGCTTGCTTAGTCAGACAAAAATCTTGAAGCATGAAAGCCATGTATCACAGGCTGAGTTTGAGCTTTCAACAATGTAATGTGTAATCAGAATACAATAGTGATAAACATCATTGTATTCTGATGTGGAAGATCCAACCCACAAAACAATTGAAACCATTTTTCATGAAAGAGGGAGAGGGGGCTCCGAGAAGTTATCTGTAGCAATCAAACAGGAGTGTAACTTTATTTTTTAATTATTGTTAACAGCACGAAGAATAAGAAACTCCAGTATAACATCTCATCGATGAATATGTCTGTATAATGGCTGCAACAGTCATTTCTGTATACGTAGTGAATAAATAAAGTCTAGTTCTCATGATGGAAAGTGTGTAACTTCTTTTGAGAATATTCAACTGTAGAATGTCTTCCTATGAGGCTTTTTTTTAAAAAAATGGAACTTTGTCTTATATCTTATTTATGGCCAAACCTCAAATGCGGAAAGAGTATGGCAGCATCTTTCGAGATTAACATTATTATTTAAGGAATAAGTATTTCTAAAATAAAGCATTTTATGACTTGCATTAAAAAAAATCTCTGGTGTAACCAGACTTTCAGAATTTGGCTATCACAGCCTAACATGAGGAACATTTAACAGTCTTGGCGACCTGCTGCTATAAATTCCTGATTGATCTACCTTTTAACAACAAGCTCAAACTGCAATTCTTTGAATGATATTTCTCGAGACATGTTTTAAAATAGAATTCTTTATTCCATTTAATACATTTATGTTGTGTTAGTAAGTCAGTATTAATCTGGGCAGCATGAACATTAATTTGTGTGAAATAATTAAATGTCCAGAAACATTTGCTGGCTAGGGGAGTCGCCTTTTTGCCACAAAACAGTTCCATTCCTTCAGCAATTTCCCTTTTTTAAACAGCCACATTTAAATGTGATTTGCCACCTATTGCTCCTCAACACAATTTATATTTAATCCAAGGCTACTGTAGTTTCTCATCATACACAAAGAAAATCTACAGCAGTAGTTGTGGAAGAGGAACACGGGCACTCGGGTTTCCCTGTAAGGAACCAAAAGGCCAATAATACACCCTGAGCCAAAACCTCCAACCCAACTCTTTGGAATTGACTACACTGAAAAGCCAGAAATAAATACACAGCATGATAGGTAAATCATCCTCAGAGTAGCTAAGTATTTTTTTTTTAGTGACAGCAGTGTCACTGAAAGCCAAATTGATTAGTAAAAAGAAGTATGGACATTCAAAGGCAAGACATATGTATGTATTAGGTACTTAGAATTCATTTTTGTAGACTATGGCCCTACTGTGCTGATGTTTCAATTCTAATCAAAAGGCATTTGAATCCTGAAAGTTTACTACAATTACAGAGTCACTACAATGACCTAGGATTGAGGGTGAGGATGTTGTAGAAGCTGACTCTCTCAAAACTTGTCCCAACTAAAATTCCTGAATGACATTCTCCAGAGGCATCAGATGTATAATGGAATAGAGGGCCACTGGAGAAACCAGTTTAAACATACCCTTAAAAGATTCCTTTAAAGCAAGATACATGATTTACTCCAAAGTTTCCATTTTATTTCTGACAAGCCATAAAGGATAAAACAATAAAGATAACCTTAATAAAGTGCTGTTTTGTTCAGGTAATAGATTGACAATTAGACAATTACGGAGCAGTCGGGCTTTCTTGACACGGCTCTTATCATTAAAACAAATGGACACCGTCTTTGTCCCCAGTAAATACCTTAATAATTTTGTATGCAAATCAACCACAAGAGATCTGTTATTTCTATTACTTTTGCCCAAAAATAAGGTGCTATAGCGCATGCACAGCAAATGTGAATGGGGAAATAGATAGCTTACTTTCAAGTATTGTAGGTTTCATGGATATTTCTTGCTATTGCATTTCTAATTACATTTCTAATGGCCAAGTCCAATAAAAAGGATAAATTTTTAACAGAATACAACCAAGAGGCTTTTCAGGGATCTATTCTGTTTAAGGTAAAATGCTATAAAATTGTAAATGTATATGAAAGAATAGTTGAAAAGTTTAAGGACAAAAAAGGCTGTTCTAATGCTTCATAAACTCCATTAAGTGCTTGAGCACAATGTTGTAATGAAGCTTTTATTAAAAAAAAGTTTCTGAAATCAAACACCAGCTGTCTTCCAACTAACTTGTTTAAACACTGGCAGTTACAACAGCAAGTTTCATATTTACTGAATAATTCACCCCATATGAAATACAAGTATCAGTAGTAGACTAGACAACTTCCAGTTACTATTACACATTAGGAACAATATATATTATATATATTGTTCTGGTGTGTGGGCACATACACATCAGAACGGATGGTGCTAATTCTGTCATTTTAGCTGATGCCTCTGTTTCCAGAATGCAAATTAGTACACCTTTCTGTTCAACAGTAGATTTTATATTCAGCAAAAGCAATACAGTACTGTGGAAGAAAACTCCATTTGCATTGTTTATTAACAAAATGGCCAGACTGCAGAATTTAGAAAAAAATGTATAAATTTTTAATTTATTTGCTCTCATTCCCTTTTTCGTCAATTAGATTTACAGATACAATGAAATGGAACAATAAAAAAAGAAAAAGGAGATGAAAAGGAGACTTGAAAGCACTGATTAAATATTTCAAAAATATTTGGATATAAACCTATATATTAGACTAATATTTAATCTTTTTAGGATTGGTTAAATTCACATTTCTTAGATCAGGGAGAAATGTTTGTATTCTTTAATTTACAATCTGATTCATACTGATAACTGTTGTTAATTATTTTATGAAACACTAATTTTAATAATCTGAAAACTATACATAGATTTATATCAATATCATTTGGAAATTTATTTGGTTAGTTTTACAAAGCTTGTAAGTAAACTCTTTCAATTTCCTTTGTGTTCTTTTTATTCTTCCTTGTTTTTCCACTGATTGTATCTGTAAACCTAATGAACAAGCAAGCAAACAAATAAAGCCAGGGAAAAAAGCCAACTACTTCCATCACTGTAATATATACCTGTTCTAGACAGCACTGTAAAAGTCAATTGAAGACAAATCCACAGACCAGAGAGATACTTCTGAATGCAATAATACAGTGAACCAAAGAGGAGAATGGGACAGTTTAGTAGGAAACATTTCTAAAATCATTTGCAGAGAAAAAGGACACGGCATTATTTTTATGTATTTAAAAGTGAATTGCACACATGATCCTCTTGAAATGCAAAACAAAGGAAAAAAATGTGAAAAATTAGGAGTAAAGTTTTTATGGTGACTTAAGAGTGGCTGGTGTACGTTAGGTGTGCTCATAAAACCAGCTTAGGAAATTACCTCTCCTTTTAACTTCTAATTTGGGTTACCAGAAGGAAAATCACAGCTAACCCTTGCATATTGGAAAGATTCCACCTACCAAGCTCAAAGGCTTCTAGTCATAATGAGCCTGGAAAGGTGGACTTTTTTTTTTGTAGACAATTCCAAATAGTATGCAGATTTCCCTGAATATGTGATGCGTTTCAAGTTTGTGAAATCCTGCTCTTTAAAGAGGGCGGTGGGGCAAGGGAAGAAAATACATTAAGATAGTAATATTCCATAGTTCTGAGTTTGTGCACACAGCATATCCCTGAAAATCCAACGTCTGCAAGATTCCCTCTGAGGTATTGTCCACTGGAAGTGAGAACTGGTGGTGTTACTCTTCAGTGAAGTCTCTGTCAATCTCCATGTACGGCTCATCAATGTAGCTAACTATGGCACAAGGTGATGTTTGATCCGTACTAAGCAGAACAGACACAGTCTCTTTCCAATAGGAAAAACTAATACATGAACTCTGTAAAGGGAAAAGAAAGAAAAGTAAGCACAAACAAAACAAATGTCTCTGGAATGTGGCTTGCCAGTAGTACCAGTGGGGTTCTATATGCTCTTGAAAAGGATCTGGAAGCTTCAGTTAGTTCAAAATATGGCAGCCCGCCTAGTTTTATGCAAGTCTAGATTTGCACTTGTGACATCTCTCTTGCAGGAACTGCATGGGTTGTGGGTTTGCTTCTGGATTCCATTCAAGGTGCTGGTTATTATCTTTAAACCCCTACTTGGCTTGGGGTCGAGATTATTTGAAGGGCTATATTTTGCCAGTTACATCAGAGTATAGTGTGGAAGCAGGATATTTTATCCACCAGGATATAGTTAGGAAGCAGGATATTTTACAGGTTACCCCCAGTTAAGGAGGTCTACCCAGTGGGGCCAAGAAAAGGGCCCTTTCTGTGATAGCTCTCTCTGTGTGGAACATGATCTCTGAAGAGATAAGACTGACCTCCATCTTGATATTCTTACGAAAGGCCTGAAAACATTAATTTGCCAATGGGCCTGGGAACCCATCAAATGGTTTGTTTTTCTGTTGCCAGGAGTGTGCAGGTATCTCAAATATTGTATTTGGTGCTTTTTTTTCTGTAAGCTGTCTGGAGTCATTATGAGTGAATTGGGCAGTCCTCTAAATTTCCTAAATAAATACATACTTTAACATACCATCAACATCTCATTGCTAGTATTTGAATATACCACTAAATATTTTGAATTGATAGTCTAACACATACGCAATTGCTCCCACCCCTCCCACAACAGTAATGAAAAATGCTCTGTAGAAATGTTTAGCCCCTTTTTGAAGGGAAGTGTTGAAGGGTTCTTTTGAGGTGCAACAGATGTAGGAACTGTTAAAACATAACCCACCAAATTGATCTTGGGCCTCCAAAAGTCCATTAAAATTGCATCAAAAATTTAGCAATTTGCCACCAAATGTTGGAGACTCAATCTTGTTAGGTTGGGGTGTTACAGGAAGTCATCAACAATTCATCAACCTACTCTTAACCTGATCTCCAAGAAAACTAGATGCTATAGAGAATTTGGTCCAGTATAAACAAAATAGACTAAAATTAGTTGAGAAAATACATGAGAACAAAAGAAAAATGAAGCAAAAGTGAATTGAAATCCTGAAAGCTTGCTAGGTTATCCTATGTATGCAGGTGACTAAATAAGAAATTATTTGCCTTATTTTAGCTGATTTTGACTAATACCATATTTTAGTTTATGTAACATTCTGGGCCAAGAAAAACTAATTTTGGTAGTACATAAATTAAATATCCAAAGTTAAATAAATCTGCTCATTTTACAGAACATACATGATATATTAAATAATCAGGAAAGCTTAATTTTCTGGCCAATTGAAATTCTATATTCTTTTTTGGAGTCATCCATTTCAGGTACTAAATTTTATATTCCTGTAAAGCTAGTTTCCTTTATCACAGAAAGAAATAGGCTTTTAGCTTTGACATTCTGGATGCAGTATTGGTTTGAAATGGAAGCACAAAAAGTCCATCCTGGTATGAATATCACACACAAATGTATCTGTCTGGTTGCACTGGAATATTTAGTCCAAGAGTTCAATTACCCGAATTCTCAATACAATCACTTTAACTAGTCTAGGAAGCATGGATTATTGAATATTTTGGAATTGTTGATATTATACCATAACGCAATCTGAAATGTGGTTGTCATTAATAACCATCTTTGTGGAAGATTGCTATGTGCTTATGCTGATCACATAAAGGACCTTGTTCTTGAAGGCCAAAAAGGGTCCCTTTCAAAGAACACATAGATTGTACAGACATTTTCTAATGAGGCAGCATTTCCCCACAGCTAAAACAGTAAAACTATTTGTATTAAAAACATATAATTCAGCAATTCTGGTTTGAAAAAGTCCGCAGTATTCACTTGGATATAGTACCAGAATGTCCCTATACCTGTTCAGGCTTACAAGCAAGAAACACTACAAAAACAATGAGTGTTTTCCATTGTTGAAATCTCAAACAAGAATCTTAATTTATTTTCACTTCACTGTCAGTGAAATACAACCCACCATGCTAGGCATTACCATAATATTACATTCTTCATGATTGAACATCTGTTTTATTCCATCAAAAGCTTTCTCCTCTCCTCTGATTCACAATTTTGAAAGACAAGTATCTGCATGGAACTTAGCTTGCAGGCTTACATTTTCTAAACAGGTGCTGTCCTTGTCCTTATTGAGGTAATGCTGCTGCCAAAAACGAAGAAGACTATGAAAATTGTTCAGTATGAATCCAGGATATTTCTTCGTATATTCCATCTCTTGAAGGGTACGCAGATAGAATGGAAGCTTGTCTTTTCTTCGGGCTAACATTAAGATAACTAGACTTGTGTTCAGACAACTTACATTTTCCTAAAGTTGAAAAAAAGAATCAAGATGAGATAACATATTATTAGTTATTCTACAGAATACAATCAACAAGATATAAAATATCATTTTATCAATCTTGACATATGATTTCTGAAATCCAATTGCCATATATTACCTGGGTCAGTGTTTGTACATGAATAATATTAATGAGTCGGAAAAGAAAGGACATCCTCATGGACATCTGTGACATGTATGATAATAGGCGGCACTCAGACAAGACTTCTGCAACTACAAAAAAGGAAGTGTGTTAGATTTAAAATGATGAGTCCTGAATGAGTTGTAATTCCGAAAAGAAGGGGGGGGGAGCACTGTTAATATGACTTCCATTCATAACTGGTTGGAAAGATTGGTTGTAATAGAAGTGCTTTTCAGAATGATAATTTTGGTCTCTTCAAAGAAAACGTGGCATTAGCCCATGCAGCATCAATGATGGGAACTGATGGTATTTAGACAAGGGGAATTTGTTTCTATACAAACCTTGATCGTACAATGGCCAGTAAAATTGTTGGTTATATTGGAATATTTGCTTCAAGGAAGCTATTGTTGTTCATCAGCATTTCAACAGATTAAACTACATTTATGAATAAACTGTGTTAATGATATCAAAGTATTTCTAGCAATGCCTAAAAGTTGTACAGGTAAGCTGCAAAAGGACATATTTGCACAGATTTTTAATGTTGTTCCTTGGCCTCAAAAAATTATTTTACCTTTAATATCTGACTGGCTCTCAAATCGATCCAGAGACAAAGTAATACAACGAACCAACATGTTGGAATCAACCAGTGAACTGTTGATTTGATTCAAAAATATCTGAAACTAAAATATTGGAATCATTAGGCTCTATCGTGAATACTATGTATAAATAAATAAACAAATGTAATACTAAAATGGTATAAAAGGGATTCAAGGATTTTAGTTTTACCTTTTCATCTGAATTGATGTATTTATTAAACCTCTTGAAAGCATCTATGTTGAATTTCATCAGTTCCCCCAGAAGATCAAAATAACTTTGAAGCACATCTCGTGATTTGCATTCACTATCAACAATGCAGTACAGAATATGCTGGCAAGATTAAACGGACTGTTACTATAGGTTCAAGCTATTATATTTTGTATTACAATAACAACAGCAACAGCACTTAAACTCAAATACTGCTTCACAGTGCTTTACAGCCCTCTCTAAGCAATTTACAGAGTCAGCATATTTCCCCCAACAATCTAAGTCCTCATTTTATCAACCTCAGAAGGATGGAAGGCTGAGTCAACCTTGAGCCAGTGAGAATTGAATTGCTGAATTGCTGGCAGTTGATAGCTATCAACTAGTCAGCTAGTCAGCAAAATTAGTTTGCAATACTGCATTCTAACCACTGTGCTACCATGGCTCTTAGAATACAATTAATAATATAGTAACATGACATTAAAATCAAACATTAACTTGGCAACAAGATTTTTTTTGTTACATACTACAAAAATATGTTTCATTACTTGATAAATTATTAAAATTAATAATGTACACTTGTACTTCCAAAGATATAAAACCAGAATAAATTACAAACATTCATACAGATTCATAACAGTTTTCTGGTAAAATTTAAAAATTAATTTCTTGAATACTGTACCTCTAAAAGCCCCCTTTTTAGCAAGAACATCTGATCTGCATAGGAAGTAGCACCTCGTAAGAAACTTTCAACTGCTCTTGCTTGCCAAAATCTGGTGAAAAGAAGAAAATTAAGCACATGTTCCTTCTTCCTCCATTAAACACATAACCAGCACAAAACAAAAATAACTTTTTTATCCATGCTTAGACAGAATGTGTTAATTCTTCTTTGGAGGGAAACAGGAAGAGGAAAAAGACCAATAAAAATACTTAATTTTTCAATCTTGGGCCGTTATGTGGAGAATAAATTTGCTCATTATGTAACTGGAAGTTTGCCAGAGCAAAAAAGCACACTCAGAATGAAAATGATATTTGTGCATCTCCTTACTAAGGGAAATCATTAGGAAAAAAAATCTCATAGCTACTGTATCTCTGACTACATGCATGGATCTCTATCACAAGAACATGTTATTTTGGATCTAAGGCTTTGATAGCCAACATCTCTGGAGACTAAGCAACTTTTAATGCCATGGCAGGGATGAAGCATTGCAGGGTAAAACAATGAGTTTACTGCCATGTTCTCAATTTAACTTTTTAATAGAGGATAATGAAATACATTCTCTGTAAGCCCCAAAGATCAGATTCTCTTATGACAAAGCGCTGTTTTATGTAGCAAGAGCAGAACTCACCTGAATGATGATTCTGCTGGTTCTTTCTTCATTACTTGAAGAAGTCTGGTTAGCAAGCCTCTTTTCCCATCGCAAATTAAATTTCTAAAGTGTAGGAAGATGTGAGAGTGAGTAAACCAGTGGGCTGCCATGTGAAGCCATAAAGTTGCTATTCAGCATACTTGTCTGTACTGTACAGTACATTGCCCATTTTTATACAGAAAGTCAAGGTCCCCATGTCAGATTTCACCATGTCAGATTTCATAGCTTTCGCATTTGGACTGTATAGAAATTTCCAGCAATATAATACAATCTACATCTTTTCTATCTGAATTTTAAAAATTGATGTATTTAAAAAAATCAAGTTCTCTCTGCAATCAGAGTGACACAGATTTATATTTAAGCTGCAGTGAGTACAAGACTGACCACTGAGTATTCATGGGAAAGACAAGGTAAAATGGACCTATTATGAAAAGATAACTTCAGGAAACAAATTATGTAGAAAAATCTACAGTTTTGTACCTGTCTGTGTTGACAACAGCCTCGACCTCAGGGATGTTGGCTTTTAGAGAGATTGCGCTCAATTCATTAAGTTCTTGGCTGTTTAAAAGTAGATACTTGTTCCTAATATGAACATTAGAACAGATGAATGAACACCTCCATTATGTAATGCATTATTTATTTACTATTTCCAAAACTGACATTGGTTGCAATAATGCCAAAACATGGTCAGTTTATAAAAGCAACATTAGGGGGTAAACACTGGCAAATATATTAAGCAACTGCATAGCCCATTCACAGTTCAGGACATTGAAGGTTCAGGCAATAGAATTAGTAATCTCATTCTATGTATATGTATGAAAAAACTGACAAGAACACACATAATCTGCTGATATTCCATGTTTTCATATATATACCTTACTCATACCTTCTTCCTCTAATAAATTCTACATATTATCACTTTAGGTTTTGTCTTCGTTTATTGCTACCAAAACACTTTCCATGCTCCAGCTCCTGAATTTCTATGCAAGGTTTTTTATGCATCCCTCCTTGCCTGTAGGGTCCTCTCTTTTAAATAGCAATAGCACTTAGACTTATATACCGCTTCATAGTGCTTTTACAGTCCTCTCTAAGCGATTTACAGAGTCAGCATATTGCCCGCAACTATCTGGGTCCTCATTTTACCCACCTCAGAAGGATGCAAGGCTGAGTCAACCTTGAGCTTGGTGAGATTCAATCTGCCAAACTGCTGGCAGCCAGTAGCCTGCAGTACTGCATTCTAACCATTGCACCACCGTAGTGGTTAGAACGGTATCTTCTGCTTTCTACATGCTAATTATCTCACCAAGTTTCAATCACTTGCTTTCCTGATTTACAATCTCTCGTTCTTCCTATTTTGTGCTTATATACTTCATGTGTTGTGGGACAAACATCTTACATTTTGAATAACACCACCTATTGGACTCTTAATAGTTTCCCAGAATCTCAGCAATGAATACTGCAATGCTGAAGCTCCTTAAGTCTCTTTTGAGAAGGGCACCGGATTGCAAATGCAGTAGATATATTTTGTCTGCCTAAGCAGAAAAACAATTGTCTCCATTAAATTGGGTTCTTATGCAAACCAAAGTACTTTCTTCATATCCTCTCCCACCAAACTTCTTTCCCAAATTCTTTGTAAGTTTTAAATATGTAACACATATAAATATTGATCAAAGGCAATTACTATATACTATATAGCTTCTGACTACATTAGAAGTTAAAATGTTCACTGTTAAGCTATACATACAGAGAACTTGCAACAAGGATGACGAACATATACTCACTCATGATGATCACTAAAACTCTGAAGTAGTCTCAAAAATTGAATTTTCAAGGTAATATCCTGCAGAAGGAAGGTTAATTAATTTTATAAATAAAATTAATGAACTGCAATCATCAGCATCAGCAATTTAGCCACTGTCCAACACTGACAAAATTAAATACAATATGAATAAGGTAGGGGAAACCAAGTTAAATAAAGAACAAGTGAAACCGGAAACAGGAGAAACCAGCTAAAAATACAGAAAATATATAAATATATTCTACAAATGAATTCATCAAGAGGTTCCAGCTGCCCTAGCCCAGGGTCCAGAACAGGCCTGTCAAACTGGCGGCCTGCGCGGCCAGATGTGTCACACACAGACCATGCCCACCACAGCTCCGCAACAGCAAAAAATAGTCATAATACAACATGTGACACGACTGAGTTTGACCTAGTGGCCAAGAAGAACAGCCAAATCTTTAAAGCCTTCTGTCATTGTGGGGAAGCCACCTGGTTCTCAGGGCGAACTTCATTCCAGAGAGCAGGGGACCAAAAAGATGCACTTCCTAAAAGACGGTTTAATCAAAAGGAGTGTGCCAACTCTATTGGCTTCTATCAGCTGGGCACACATCACGGAAGAAGGCAGGCCTGCAGATAACTATATATGGCTCTCTACGAAATAACCTACACTTTCAGTTGCACCTGGAAACAAACTGGTGGCCAGTGCAATTTGTAGAGCAGGACTGACACCTACCATACCACAACATGGTGTTATCTTTCTGGTTGTTTTTATCATCCAGGATGGACCTTGTCTAACAAACAGGTAATGGAAGGTATGGTTCAGAAAACCCTGTCTAATTTCTTAAGAGTCGCCAAATCATACCACAAGACTGAGCTTTGGACATCTTGGCCACACATACCATACCTGCCTAGTAAGAGACCAACTTGGAGAGGAGCTGAGAGACTGCATTCATTATTACTTTACTATTAGTAATAAAAAATACAATTTACTAATAAAAAGTATGTGACCTGCCTTACATCTAGGGCAATCATATGTTAATGTTATTTATGGCAAATATCTCACCAGGTAAAACTAATACTCACCGGGCTACAGTCACAGTTCTGATTATGCCCAGGCAGAACAAGGGCTGATGCTGAATGTTTCCGCCATATTAATTTATCAAATAAATTATTAAGGCCGGGGATCAGTCTAAATTCAGCAATCATTTTATGAACCTAAAGAAGAAGAGCATTCGGTTAATTCACCTTATCTATCACTTAAAATATTGGAAGGAAATAATATTTATCTCCCAACCTTGTTAGCAGGGGGTGCTGAATGTGCTAAGGGCCCTGTTTCCTAGCTTTATTGGTCAAGTATCTCGACTGCTATGTATATTTATTTTGGATATTTTTTATTGTTTTAAAATGTTTTTTGGGTGTGTGTAGTAATATATATTTGAATTAGAAGTCACCAGAACTGATTTAAAATGGGAGGCTATAGAAATTGAATGAATGAACAATAAATAAATACCTTTCAGACATTACTGATTAGAAACAAATTAGTTATAAGTCCTTAAAGTGCATCTGGTATAATCTTAGTAAAAGGAAGGTGTAATACTAAGGTATATTTTTGGCAATTTCCTATTAAAATAAGATACTGGTACCTGATTTAGGAGATATAAACTATTATCTAAACTTTTTTTCTCAATGAACACATTCTTAATACCAAAGGCAAATTCTAAGTCTTTACCGAAAAGCCCTTTGTCAGTAGTTATGTAAGTTATGTAAGACACCTGAACTAACAGTGACTCAGAGCATTTCTATTTTATCCCAGAGAATAAAATGTGCAGGTTTAAAAATAATTACTTAAAAAAAGATCAACAGTGTCCTGAGAACTAAACTAACTTTAGTTTTAAAAAGGTTGTAAGATTTTAAGGAAGAGATTTAGAGATAATATCTAAAAAAATAGTAATAGCATTACCTGATTTCTTTGTCTTCCCATTAAAAGCACACAGAGCACATATAAAACCTCCAACTTATACATAATTTCATGCATAATTTTCATAGACTGAGGAAGCTGATTCCTTGTTGAGGTGTTGGCAAATCCACTCTCATCTGAAGATTCTAAAAGCAGAAGAATGTTCAATGTAGAAGCCTTCATAAGACATTGCATCACCCTGCGTGAACTTCCTTTTATGAAGTCCCCTGGATCCCATCCTCATTAACTGTCCAACTGCAATCATGTATACGTGTTTGGGTCTCTTTCTCTGGAGTGTGATTTAAGTTCTTCCTTACTGGTGATAGTTCTGCTCTCTCCCATCTGCAGTGCTTGAGACAGACTCTTATTCTAAGGGGTGGCTGTGTGCTTTACTAGTTATGATTGGTAGGCTAGCACTGGGGAGATCCAGGTTCAAGGCCACCCTTGGATATGGAAACCCACTGAGTAAGTTTGAGCAACTTAGTCCCTCTCAGCCTAGTTTTTCAGCCTGTTATTTCTGCACCAACTCAGGAAGCTCAAACTGCCCAAGCAGCTGCTGATTCAGTTCTACAGAGGAATTATTGAGTCGTCATCTACACCTCTGTAACTGTCTGGTTTGGCTCTGCAACCAAACAAAACAAACACAGACTTTAACAGATAATTAGAACTACATAAAAAACAATTGCTACCAATCTGCCTTCCATTGAGGACCTGTATATTGCACGAGTCAAAAAGAGGCCTGTGAAAATATCTACAGACCCCTCACATCCTGGACATAAATTGTTTCAACTTCTACCCTCAAAACGATGCTATAGGGCACTGCACACCAAGACAACCAGACACAAGGACAGTTTTCCCCCGAATGCCATACTCTGCTAAACAACTAATTCCCACAACACTGTCAAATTATTTACTAAGACTGTATTACTATTACTCTTCTCTTCCTTCCTAGCATCCATCTCTTACCAAATGTGGCAAGAAAAGTTGTAAAACGGGGCAAGACTCACTCCACAAATTTCTCACTTAGCAATATAAATGTTGGGCTTGATTATGGTCATAAATCGAGGACTAGCCGTACTTACTGAGTAGCTTTGGGTGTAAAGGAGGAAAGAACACAATGACAATGGAAGACACAGAAATCTTGCCCAGACTTAATTGAAGTGTCTGAATAGGAAAAAGCTATTAAAAACTATTCCATCTCAGTATAAGATTAGAAGACTGCTAGTTAAGATGTTTAAATGTGGTGGCCTAGAGCTACTAATTTTGGGGTAGACCCTTCAAAAGAACTGCATGTTGAGAAATGGCTGTTTTAGTGTGAGCTGAATACCTGTGCTGCTTTGCTCTGTTTCTTCATCTGCCACACGCATTAATGCATCAAGAACTAGTGCATTGTCTAGCCAGGTGTACCACTCCTCCAGCTCTTGAAGAAAACTGGAAGTTCCCGTTGTTTCTGATACTTTTCGGGTTGCTAGTTTACACAGTCGTTCAATGAAACCTGGTATATTGAGAAGGGTAGCTAGGGCAAAGAGAACCATATTAAATATTAAATTGCTGAAAAACGTATGAACTATTTTAGATAACTTATATTAATGTTCCCATCTTAAATAAAAGAACATTAAAGAATTTGAGTAGTCAGGACATTTATTTTAGCAAGCAAGCAAAAAAGTGAAAACTTTAGGTTGAATTTAAATGAGAAGTTATGCTGTTAAATTTCCCTCGGGAGATAATTTTCATCCCCCTTCCCCTCAAATGCTCCTGATATAAACAACCCCCCCTCCCCTATTTGTGGACATCTAGCAATCTGATACCATACCAATGAAATTTGGTAGAAAAATAGTGTACTCATCCTCATAATTTTCTATTTAGAAATAATGTTAGATTGATAGCAGGAGGCACCTAATTGACAAAATATTTCACATCCATTTGTGGCCCTCCCCAAAATAGCACAGCAAAATTTGATGATTCTGCCACTGAATTTCTACAATACTATTTTGAGCCAGGGGAATGAAAGTCTAGAATTAAGACAGAAATGGAAATAGCTGCTTTCCAGAAGCTTCTCCCTCCCACTCCCATTCTTAAAAATAAAAAGCAGTCCCACCCCTTAACTGAGTAACACATGACCTCCTACAATTCTCCAAAAGTTCAGTTGGTTGAGTTGTGCCTGCTGACTCCTTACAGATTACTTATCTGTACAATATGCATACTTGCAAATTTGAAAAAAAGCACACCATTCTTTCCAGCTTTTCTATTTTTCTGAGTGTCCTTGTTTGGAATATTTAACAATGAAAGGAAACATTTTACCTTGATTTATTTCTGCTCGAGAAGGACCCAAATTTTTTTTCTGTTGAGCATTTTTAGCAAGTAGTGTATGTTTATCATCACTGCCAGTGTCAAGCTCTGAAATTGTAACAGCAAGGATCCTGCAGAAGTTTGCTAGCTGTTGTTGGTCAAAACTGGAGACCAGATTGGCGAGATTTGGGATATCCTCTAACTGTATCATTTCCTAAAAGGAGGAAATTCACATGTTAATTGCGAACGTTTCTTACATTCTGTTATTTAACCATTCTGAATAATTTAACAACATCTAAACAAATTGCTTTCACTACATGGAATCTATTTTAGACTTAGGTGAAGCGTATTAAAAACAGTACAAAACGTCTTTAAAAGATATCAGGTGTGCATAGTTCAAATCATGCTATTATAATCTTTGAAAATTTGGCACTGTCCATTCCCTTTCACCACATCTGTCATAGCATGAGTAGAGTCTCTATGTGTTACCAAGCAAAAGAGATGCCCGTGGCAACTCAGTGATTGCAGGGAAGACTCTCATCCTGTGTGGATATGGCATAGTTCATACTCTTGTTTCCTCTCCTATTTAATGTCTCCATGAATGTCTGCTGGGAGAAGTCAGATAGTAATTTAGAATGAGGTATCCTCGATATACTGATGATACCTACCCTGGTGGTGTAGTGATTAAAGTGCAGGGTTGCAGGCAAACTCTGCTCACAACCTGGAGTTTGATCCTGATGGGGCTCAAGGTTGACTCAGCCTTCCATCCTTCCAAGGTCAGTAAAATAAGGGCCCAGATTGTTGGGGGCAATATGCAAAATAATGCTTTACATTGTAAACTGCCTAGAGAGTGCTCTAAAGTGCTATGGGGCGGTATATAAGCCTAAATGTGATTTCTATCACTATTCAATTGTCAGCCCAGGCCCAGCTGGAGGTGCTGCAGAAACCTTGTCTTAGTATCCAGAGGCTCTTATAGAGTCCGGAAGAGAGAAAACGGGGTAGCTGTTCCCTGAGACAGCCACTTTTGGCCGTCACAGACCACCATCACAATGGTGTTTCTCAAGGAAATAGCATAGCCCCCGAGGAAGCAAATCTGTGATTTGGAGACCCTCCTGAAATGACAGTTACTAATGGAAAGAAAACTAAAGGCTATAGCCAAGAGGTCCTTTGACCAGCTTCACCTAGCATGTCAACTGCAACTCCACCTGGAGTGTGAGGACTCATACAGGTGGTCCTTGAGTTATGAAAGCAATTGGGACTGCCATCATCAAGCGATGTGGTTGTAAAGTGCAATGTCACATGACTGCATCATTTAACCATGGTGATCCAGGCAGTCCTGGTTGCCATTGTAACCGCAACACATGTGAGTTCTTAAGCAGAAAGCAGAGGGAGTCCCAGGTAAGGAGCACCAAGGTGCTGCAGGGAAGTGCAAGAGGTCTCCAGTGAGTTGGGGTGGTGCTGGAATGTGGCGTGACCTCAGGGAAGCTGAGAAAAGAGGGCACAGGTGTATGTTTATGTGCAAGAGCAGGAAGGCCCAGCAAAAGAGGGCATTGGTAGGTGCAACTAAGCGATGGGTGGGTGCGCTGCAGGCAACGAACAAATGCTGGGAGAGATGACACTTAACCAAGTGACTTGCGATCTTCCCTGCTGGTTTACTCATTGATTTTGTTTAGGCAAAGCTGACAGACAAGTAATCACATGACTGGGGGATGTTGCAAACAGTTGTAAGTGCAAGTAGGTTGCCAAGCATCCAAATTTTGTTCACGTAACTGTGCGGTGCTTAAATGGATGGAACTCTGAGGGTTGGTCATAAGTCCCGTTTTCAGTGCTGCTGTAACTTCGAAGAGATGCTGAATGAATGGTCATAACTCAAGGGTCACCTGTATCCCTAGCATAATTTGCTTGGACTATTGCCAAAGATTCTATATGATGCTGCCTTTGAAGGCCATCAGAAAACTGCTTAAATTTTGCATGTGGTTGCCAAGGATGGTATTCTCAGTTAACTAATTATTAGTACATGAGTGAAGGATACAAAAACTTTCCAAAATTAATGATCCCAAGCCTATAGAAATCATTGATTGCTTCCAAGGATTATTGACAAACCTTTTTAACTCCAAGAATGTCTTCAATAAGAGTGGCTGTTTGCAGGAATGTCTTTTTATTTGTCATCAGAGTAAACAAGAACAGCACAAAATCATTTCTTTCTGCCAATCTTTTAGTGACTCCTTCAGTCTACAAAAATAAGAAAGCATTTATCCCAATTATTTATTGGCAACCTCTCTGAATAAAATATCCACAATGGTATTCCTCAATTGATAATTCTTACAAGTATATTAAGGAGGAAAATAAATCCCTAGTAAAACAAATAATGAATGTATGTTTCTGGATTCTAATTAAACTGTTCTGGATGACTGAATGAATGGAATAAGGGAATCACTGATAGATTTATGCTCTATATTTAATTGTTTAATCTCTTCAGCACTAGGTTGAAACAAATTGCTTTTCAGAACAATTAATGTTATAAAACTAAATATCTGTCTCATATCCATTTTGGAGGATTCCCTAAATCTCTGAGGCCTATATTATTTTATGTGCGTATATTTTAGTAGAATGACAATATTATATATAGCCCAATATTTTAGCTGATAATGCTGATGATGTTTATATTAGGAATAGTTATTTATTGATATTGTTATTATTTTATCTACTATCCCATATTTCTGTATGTGGGGCATTTAAGGCAGAAACATAAACATAAAACAAATACCTAAAAGACTAACTTCAACTGCAAATATCTGATTGAAGAGGAAAAGTCCTTTCCTAAAGTACACTGCTTAGAGAAGGCTGTAAGCACTGTGAAGTGGTATATAAGTCTTAAGTGCTATTGCTATTGATGGAGTAGATTCCATAGCTTGGGAACACAGTAGGAAAGTATCAAAAGCAATCCCCCCAAAATCATGGTAATGCATTTTCTAAGCGTATTTGGTGGAAAATAACTTTCAATCTGGAATAAAAAATATACAAAATACCAACAAATTCCATATTACTAAACTCTTAAATAGTCCTACGGTTAATCATATACCAACAAATCCGCTTTAAAAGATGACAGAGATAAAATGCAGCTGCCAATGTGTTTATGTCTACTGCATTATGTAAAATCCTATGCTTTATTTTTTTAAATTAAGCAAATGTTTTAGGTATAATAAAACAAAAAAAAATAGTACACAGAATATGACTTACACATATGCAGGAATTGTACAATATGCTTAAACAGTCCTTGATAAGCTCATCACTTACTGCAAAACATAATATTCTTATTAGTATTTTTTTGAAATACAGTATCTTGAGATCACTCATTCTGTCTATATTTCAATATATGCTACATAATACCATAAATACCAAAAATACTAATGAAAAGAAGTATTTCAGTTGTTAAAATCCAATAAACTTAGGGTTAATGGTATACGTTGGGAGGATTATAAGTAAATGGCTAACAAGCCACCATCAGTCGCCCATTTCAATGGTAATTCCAGGATTATTATTATGGTGCCTACTTTTATGCATTTTAGATACCAGAATCCTCTTTTAAAAAAAGCAACAGCTACAATGTGTTATCTGTGCTTATCCCTTCATAATGATGCTCTACACATATATTTATAATTTTTTTAAAAAAATATTAGTTTATTAATTCCTAATAGGTAGAATAGAAGTAACTTGTCTAAAAGTAAAAACAAATTTAATGAAAGCTCAATGTAGACAGACAACAATTAGAGGTACTAATTTAAATTCACACAGCAAATATAAGGCACGTTTTAAATTATTTGGGTAAATGTTTCCACAGTGACTAAACTATAATTTATCTTGCAATCTTTTGGAAATAATGACAAATACCAAATTACTGGTATTAAAATACTGATTTCATTTAATGTTTTAATATATGACTAAAATATTTAAGATTTTTTAGCTTAAAAGCTGTAAATTTTAGAAATTCAGAAAATGTACACTATTGGCAAACTACTAACAAAACTGCACTTGTGACTGACATTGAATAAAAAAGAATTTATGACAGAGACATGACTTTTACTTACTCTTTTGTTTCTTCTTCTGTGTAATAAATGTTGGCCTCATAAGAATTTCTACCAGAAGCTGTGAATCAGATAATTACTTTATTTACTTTACCAAAATAATATAACAATTATTTGAATAGCAAATTCAAATGATTTTAAGCGATCTCTTTTTTGTTGCATGCACAAAACTTTAATTCTATGTGGTAGGCACCTGGTTGATCCCCTCCAAATAAGAAAGGCCAGGCTAAACTTGGTTAATATTTGGATAGGATGCCATGAGCAGATCCCGGGGTTATAACTAGTGTGGGAACTGAAAACATCCGCAATCAATGTCAAACCAGTATTTTTACCAACGACTAGTAAACTAGTTATATGTCTGTAAAATCATCAGGTTGATTTGAACAAGACTTTACCTTGCTTTACAAAACATCCAATGCCCAAACTTTACAATAATCTCTTCATAAAATTTACCATATTTCAATAGGATATTCGTCTAATGTTTGGGCTCATACTTAATATGCAAGCTTTTGGCTTTGTGCTTTCTCTTCTAATACAGAAGTTACAAGATGATAGAAGCTGTTGTGAAGTAATTAATGTTTCCTATTATGCCTGGGTCAGGTCCAGTAAGTTTAAGGTTCATTAAACTAGAAAAACAAATCAACTTCTAGTTAATAATCTTTATTCATTTCAGTAAACTGTATTGTAATTTTGTGTGGGGTAAAAAAAGAGCATTTTGACAACCACTTGACATTATAATCAGAGAAATGTAGATAGTTTACACTGCTCTACCCTTTCCTCTGTCAGAACAGGTAAATAAACTAGTAATCTTTTTTTCATATCCCAATTTGGAATTATAATTATTGGTTTCCAAACCAGCTAGCGCAGGGAAACTAATTTTAAATCATGTGACACTGGTTAGCTGTGGCTTCTTAATGTGATCTATTAGGATCACATGTACATGTAACAAGAAGTACTGCCCTATTTTAAATACTTTTAAACTACATGTAATACAAAATAATTGCTGAATATAATATACATCCTAAACATGTTGTGCTAGTTAGCTAGGAAAAAAATCTCATTGCCCCCAAATTAAGCATTACCGTATTTTCACGACTATAAGCCGCACTGAAAATCCTAAAATTTGATCAAAAAACGTCAGTGCGGCTTATAACCCAGTGCGCTTTATATGTGAAAAAAGATCGAAAATCTCTCCCTCCCGACGCTCAAACTTGAAGCTCACAAGCATGCACACGTCCCTCGGGTCTCTCCCTTCAACCTCGCTACTTTCTCAGTCGGAGACCGGGGGGCGAGCCGAGAGCCCCCCAGGTCCCAGCCCCTATAGACTGGGCTGTTCCGTCACCCCCGCCGCCGCAAGAAGGGACGGCAGGCCGGCGCAGCCCTTCAGGATTTGCCGGCGCCGAGCACCCCATCTGC